TGGTACTAACTTCTTTAATACTGTAATTCACGTTGCCGTTTGATTCCTCCGCACGTTGTTGCAAAGTACTCGGTCAGTTTGGACGCTTTGCAGTCTACATGTATACTGGGTGCGATAGTAAAATCACAGCACCACCTCAGACGCTCGCCAGTCTAATTTCACCAAATGCACCATGATATTTTATTGTTCCCCCAACCTAACAACGACGCATTCAGATATCATGACAACCACGCCTGCATCGTCCAAGGTTTCAGGACATGGTAGGTTTCAGTAAACTTCATAACGTGGATTTCGTTGGAACTTTTCCGTTTTGATCACATTATATATGACTTATTATTCTTTGGCCCTTGTCCTTTTATGGAATTCTTTCAAGCGGTGTTGGGCCTTCCATGGTTGCTCTCTTGGAGTTTTTTTCTCGGCGTCATTCGTTGCAATGCTGCATCCTTATGCAAAGCATTGTTTTCCTGATTCCTCTTTTGATTTTGCTTTGAATATATCGTTAAATTTTCATTCGTCTTTGGCTTCTCTGTGGACTCCCAATATACTCTTAATCGCTTCAAAACCTTGCGGCTTATTTGCTGGCGTAAAATCGTAAACGGGTCCTTAGCGAGCAAGTTTAATCAAAGGTAATCTTATGATTGAAAACAATATTCAGGTATCCCGACAGCATTGTTTCTATATTCGTGAAAATACTGTAAATAATGGATTACCTCAAGGGCACGCACCCTTTCGAAACCAACACCGAATTTTCTTCGTTCTGCACGTCCGTGATTTATTATTGGGCACTCACTTTGCACACCTAATTTGTGAGCTTCTGCGTCGACCATTTTCGTCAATGAGGAGTTGTCTGGCAGATGACACATGGAGCAACAAACCCGTCTAGGGTTGTATTGCATAAGAGATTTTAATTAGTACCGACTCATTCCAAAAAACGTTTTTTTAAAGCACCCAGCAGAACCTGCCTTATGCCTATCAAACGATAAATTTTTAACTCAAAAATGGATAACGATATAATCATTATACGCCCTTTGATTCCCGCAGCTTTGGAAAATACATGTATGTTCGCTAAGATGTGTATCGCTATGTATTCACCAAACACCATCGCCTGCCCGTGTTTTTGCAAGTCGGAGTTATATTTGCCTTGTGTTTTACCACCAAATGACGCATCTTTATTATCCCGGCACCTTTTTACACGGGAACAGGTAAATCATGTGGTGACCGCTAAGGACTCAGGATAACGGTATTTACGTATTTCATTGGCGTAGGCAGCGCGGCCAAGTTATCAGTTCACATGTTGCCAGGAGTGACTTGATCCCTCAGGTAGGGGTTGCGGTCGACATGTACGGAGGATGTGCTAGAAAAACCATAATGAATATTCGCTTGGTCTAATTCTGGATGATCCAGCAGTTAAAGGATAAAGAACTGCTTAGACAATTTAAATAGGAATTTTTTCCTTATTTAACCCGAATAATTATATTTCCTCTACGGAACGGCAGAATTAAAACACAAAATTTCATCAGCAGTCTGTGGTTCACTCAGATATAGCGTGCAATCGTTCCCCTTCAAAACACTGCAAAACCTTCACCCTTTCGAATTCGTGTGACGCACTTTTTCTTGTTTCCTTAAACGCAATTTATGTAGCGCATTCTCATCGAATGCCAGCATATTCAGATATCCTGACAACCATGCCTGCAACAAAAAAGCCTTCAGAAAGTGGTGAGTTTAATAAGGCACTATTTCGGGAGGCGCTCCTAATAGATGAATTTGCAGTCTTCACTCGTAATCTGAGATTTCAGCGCAAAATGCTCCCGCAAATCTCACACGTGTGCGCTACGCTCTGTTGTTGCAGCCCCACAAATTCAGTTGCGTTGGTTAACGAACCTCACACTTTTAGTCTTTGTCATCATGTAAGTGAAAAAAATATAAAAATTGTTGCAAATAGCCTATTGAGCTGTCCAGAGAAACGCCTGCTGTCCACCTCAGTAAAGTGAACCGCATAAAATTATTAACAATATCGGAAAGATCCAAATAATGGTAGTGAATGTCGGAAGGCGGGTGAATATAATCTCCGTATAAAATGGACCGGTCTGTCCACTAAAAGCAATTTAATTTTCATTATGTTGTACAAGCAAACTGGCTCGTGGGCCGATATTTATACTTGAATTGTTTCATGTGCGCCGTTTTATCTTATGAATAGACGTTCAGGGCATACATTCATGAACAGCTGTTGATCATGCAGTGCTGCACCATTATTCCCGTAATGTTCACATGAATTATATTTGTGTTTCCAGGACGCTATGATATGTGCGAGCTCTTGTGGGAATTCATACTCAACATACTCCGAAAACCCCCGTTCGAACCAAATTTCGATAACCGACAAATGTGTGTTTTCCATTTGAACAGATTGCAGTTGTTTCAGCTTTATTGTACCAGCTTTTAACGAAATCATATTACAAGTTTTGGAACAATAACAACGACCATCTGAGACGCCATTAGTTCACGTCTTGTGTTTTGCGGGGAAACCCATCGACACAAGCGTAGCAAAAGTATTGTTTTGTAAGCTGAGGTAAAGAATGTTCTAGTTCAGTGCTTCTGTTGGGTAGTTTCGATGCAATATTAAATAGCGAATACGAAATTTTATTAAAACTTGTTTTTGCATGAAATCACCGACTTTTGAATGAAAACAACTCACACGCGAGTCGCTATTGAAAACGGTTGCGGTAATATCATCACTACACCTGGTATGGCGGTCAAATTTACTTAGGATGACACACTGACATCTATCACTGCTATAGAAGCAAGATCGCAATTCTAACCTTGTTAAAAATGTGTTTCACTGATAATATTTGCGGTGTCATCCTTATCTGGTCTGTATTTTCCTGAAACTAATTCATTTTGTGAGCCAGCCTATTCAGCTTTAATTTCAGCATTCTTGGTGAGAGAAGATAGTCAAATATATGGGGAAAATGGTTGGAAGCGCCAATGATTGGCCGTGCGAAAGTTTTCAATTAAATCTGACTACCTGAGACTACGTGATCTAGATCATGTTGACAATATATTTCAGCGTCACGTAAGAAACAACTTTACAGTTTTGGTCTAGAGATTCCTCACTGGCAGTTGTTAGCCGGAGCACGAATCACTCATTCAGTATGGAAATTACCTTATCAAGCAGACATCCAGGATTTTAGTCAGCCGTCCCACAGCGATTTGCGGACTCGTGAGAAGAAAGCGTAATTTTATTATGACGAATGATTTGTACGCAGATTCTTACATTGCACTCTGAAGCATGACCTTCAGTTGCGAAGATGGAGCATATCAGTAACACTCTGCGATGCTTTCAGATGATCTCAGGTGATTAGTTAATCAAGGTTACTTCCAAATGATATATGAATTCATCAAACGTATATATCTGGTCTTAGTTGGCACAAAAAACCTCACTTGGCATGAGAAAAAAGCATAATAAAGCAACGGATAAAGAAACTGAAAACGCAAGTAGTAGTAGTAGGTCAAAAAAACGTGCCGTCTATTGAAATGATCTTGCCATGGCAGATCTGGAGTTTTTCCGCATAGATTTTCAGCACGAAATGAAATATGAATTCAACAAACGTAAATATCTGGTCTTAGTTGGCACAAAAAACCTCACTTGGCATGAGAAAAAAGCATAATAAAGCAACGGATAAAGAAACTGAAAACGCAAGTAGTAGTAGTAGGTCAAAAAAACGTGCCGTCTATTGAAATGATCTTGCCATGGCAGATCTGGAGTTTTTCCGCAGAAGTTAGATTTTCAGCACGAGACAAAATGCACTACACATCTGTGTTAGGCGTGTTAACGAAAGTACCAAAAACCCCGTGAAATTTGTTGGTTACTCGTTTATGCGGTAAAGGTGTGATGTGTGACATTCAGTATGAAAGCAGGTTTTGAATGCTCGTATTGCGTAATTGCATATCACGCCAACTGCTTCTTTATTTTGGTCAGTTTCATGGAGCAGCTTTTCCCTTACTCGCAAAATCTTTAACTTGGAAATTTTGATTGGAGTGACCTTTGATGAACTGCTGGGCCTTTTTTCTGAACATTCAAACACTCAATTTTTTTCCATAGTTTTATTGTGTTTCTAGAAATTATTACAAACTCAAAATAAAATTTAACTCCCGTAATACATATCGCGAGCTTCCGGATACCGATCAAATCCGTTTGAAAAGAAAACTGCAAAAATGAACGTGGTTTACAGTGGCATTTGGCTATATTACATTATTTTCAGGAGTTTTTTTTATACCCCCGCTTTTAAGCTTCTTTTTTTGTACGGAAAACTGCATTGTCATTCCCTTTTTCCACGAACGGTTAGTTTTGTTCATGCTTGGATTCCAAGTTCATTGTTTCCAACATACACAACACACTTTTCAGGAAAGAAAACAGACCACTGATTGAAGTCCAAATTTCCAGGCTGATTGGATGTATCTTTCTCAAGAACTCGTAATGAAGGGCATATTGCCCACATATATCGCACATATTGAGTCCGACTGGCGTGTATAACGGCCTTAAGGCATCAAATTTATTCCCCGAGTACATGTATAAACTACGGGACTTGTTTATTAGACCGCGGAAAATTGTTTCGCGTGATGTTGTTTATCTACAGGCGTCGGGAATATCACAAAATATCGGAAACAGTTATTGTACGACCAATGTTTAAGATTATAAGTTTTAAAAGCGAATGTGCATGAATCGCTGAAAATAATATACTCCCTGAAACAAATCAGTAAGGACAATCCCTAATGGCAGCGTTCTTGGATAGCATCATATAACAAACCTGAGGTGATCAGGATTGGATGAGTTGTAAACCTGCAGTCAAATAGGCGTGTAATCATCATTCGCATCACTGCTCTCTCACTGACTACGGTAACAGCGGCGATGAGAGACAACGCTGTTTTTATGTGTGTGTGCAGTGTCCGGAACAGCTCTGCACTGCCGCCGTTCATATAGTCTGGTATCTCTCTATCCGAAAAGTAGCTTCAGTTTCTACGAAAGACATAAACCAATAGTAGACGTATCTTAAAGTTGTCTTTAGATGGAACAGCCGAAATCCAATTTATAGGTAAAATTATTTTTTTGAATTTAAGGGAAGAAATACTTTTGGACTGTAGAATATTGATGCTGGTTTCAAAATAAGAACCCTCTAGAAAGCTCAGAGCTGTTTCAGGTACTAGAACTTTTTTAACTTTCTTAAGCACCACTTTTGAACTGGACGCAGAAACAGATGACTCCATCAATGTTTGTTTGACAGGACCGGACCACCACATAAGTTGTATCCGATCAATGGATTTTGAATCATTGAAAGAAAACCTACAGCAGGGGATGCTTAAAATTTGTGAATCTGAATTTTGACACCAGGCAAAACATTATTAAACAACAGTCACTGTCACCTATGTTGTATGCAAGTCCGTTGAAACTAAACCAACTTCATAGGAATTGAGACAGCTCAACATGTTGGTATGGGATCGTCAGTTAATAATGAATTTGGCGAGGTGGATAAAATCACACCCACTCCTGTTAATTGGTTAGGTAAGAATAATAATCCTTTCTTAACATCAAAGTTGGCTGCCATACCAGAAACGCTGAGGTGGTATTTGTACGATAGTTTCACAAATAATTGTGTGACCTCAACGGCGTTGTGATAAGTGCTGATGAAAAAATGTTGGGTATGCAAAATTCTAATGATATGCATTGGACATTGATGGACGATCAGGCGTAACAAACAAATATATGAGTAGCAAATGCTTCGTGTTATTTCAAAAATATAGGATAATCTCTGGCAGGCAAACACAACAACATTGAGCTTGTCTAATGTCGGTGTGCTACTGAAATTTGGCCAAATGCTGGTATATTGCTCACGGTTAGTTTAGGCGGCCAAGTGTGTGAAATGCTACTAGATTTGAAGTTCACAAATGGGCTAACTTATAAGAATCGAGTTTCTCTATAGAAATATTAGGAAAGCGAACTTCTGTCACATAAACGCTGAAGAAAAACGTGCAGAGTTTTACGTCCATATTCAAAAGAATATGAGTAAAAACGGTTTGGTGCAGGCTTTTAAAAACTAAAGGCAACAGGCCAACAAATTGGGAACTAAGTACAACTGGAGTTAAACTACATATTTTCAATTTATACTCAAACAATTCAGCGATTGCCACCCAGCTCGATTTCTTGGTTATAATACGCGCGTTTGGTCAAACTTCGGATATCTTTACCATGACAATCAGCGTGAAATTACCAAAAGTACGAAATGATTTGTTGGCATAAACTTGGCCATCGACAAGCAATAAATTTAACCGATTTTAGTTCCAATGCAGAATGCCTGCAATCAGCCCTTGAAGACGGGTTTAACCTAGCCGTTGCGCACCGTAAAAAGTATGCAAATGTGCAAAGATGACGACTAAGTATTTTAATAAAAGTGTTTCAGGAGTACATTACTCCGATAATTTTCGATTTGCTCCCATTGCAAGTCAAGAAATATGAAGATTTTCAAGGATTATCAACCCAGGTACTTGTCGCCTGAATATACTAGAATTATGATTTCTTTAATATTTTCAATACAATCAATACGATGTGAACATTTTTAGATAATTATACACTGCTATAAATTGAAATGTGTCATTCATTGATGGCCGCTAAATGAGCTCGTCAAATCCTGAGCACT